TCCGGAGGGTACACCGCGGCGCCTCCGGTTGTTGGGGTGTCCTTCTCGGAAGTTCCGAGTCTTCCCCCTTCCTCCCCCAGTGCAGGCTGCCTAGTGCCCCGACCCGCCGGCCGTGGATGGGGAGCCCTGGGGGCCGGGGAGGTCCTTGGCTGGTACTCCACAATACTCAGAAGCTTCCTGGGCCCCAGAAAAAGTTGGGAGTTGTTAGTAGGACCTGGAGAGATGGAGAAGGGGCCGCGAAGCAGGGCGGGTCGTGAGGCTGAGTAAGAACGCCGGCTCTTCTCGGGCAGGCAGGAGTCGAAAGGGCAAAAAGTAGTGTTGAACAAGCTGGGAGTCTTGGCTGTACCGTTAGGTGGCTTTCCTGCGGCGTCAAGCCAACCTGTTGTTGAAGGGTCGAGGTAAACATCCACCCTGAAAAGGGTGCTGGAAAGGAGTGAGACACTTCAGTAATGCTAAGTGCTATCACGGTTATGGTACTTTGCTTGACTTCTTTGGGTTCAGAGTGTTTTAACTTCACCCACACAACACAGGGAGTGTGATAACAGCAGCATCTGAGATGGCTCTGGGTTATAGAAAGGCAGGAGCAGAGGAGGAGGCGTGTAGTGTAAGTAGAGAGAGATGGAAGTTCAAGGATGGGAGATTTGGCCAGGCAGAGTGGCTCACACCTATAATCCCAGCAGTTTGGGAGGCCGAGGTGGGAGGATCGCTTGTGGCCAGGAGTGAGAGACCAGCCTGGGCAACAAAGTGAGACTCCATCTCTAAACAAAATTTAAAAATTAGCCACACATAGTGGTGTACACCTGGAGTCCCAGCTACTTAGAAGGCTAGGAGGAGGATCACTTGAGTTTCAGGAGTTCAGGGCTGTAGTGAGTCATGATTGTGCCACTGCACACAAACCTGGATGACAGACTGAAACCCTGTCTCAAAAAAAAAGTGAGATTTAGAGATTTATTTAGGGGCTGAATGGGCGTAGTGATGACAGAACTAAAAGATACCCTTGACTTTTCCTCCATAGCGAATGGAGCTTTGATCAATGTGTTCAAGTGTGTGTATGGCATCTGGCATCTGAGGGAAGAGAATATACACAATGAGGTAGGATGGCTGGTATCAAGGAGGAATTTCACAGGAGGAAAGTGTGAGCGAGATGCCCTGGCAATGAAGTGTAAGATTGTGTCCGAGGGAACGACTCAGCTCTGGGCACTCACTTCTGTCCATCCAGGCCTGCACATTCTCTTACCGACTCTTAAGACCAAGCGATCTGAGTTTTTCAGTCCTTTTGGGTTTTGTCAGGATGACTGTGTTTGGGCATATGCAGGGGGGGGATATCGCTGTCTCGTCGTTACTGCTGTCCTTGTCCCCACCAGAACGAAGGAGCACTCCACATCCATTCACTCCATCTCCCTATCTGAGCTTGGAAGACTTCAGAATGGTGGGGTTTTCCCCCTGCAGAACCTCCCCACCAGCGGGGATGATCTTGGCCATCCATCTTTTTCTCTTGTCCACAGATTCACCGTGCTGATAAGGAGGTGACGTCATAGGAGCTGCTAAGATGGGCATGAGGATCAAACTGCAAAGCACCAACCACCCCAACAACCTGCTGAAGGAACTCAACAAGTGCCGGCTCTCGGAGACCATGTGCGACGTCACCATTGTGGTGGGGAGCCGCTCCTTCCCGGCCCACAAGGCTGTGCTGGCCTGCGCGGCTGGCTACTTCCAGAACCTCTTCCTGAACACCGGGCTTGATGCCGCCAGGACCTACGTGGTGGACTTCATCACCCCTGCCAACTTTGAGAAGATTCTGAGCTTTGTCTACACGTCAGAGCTCTTCACAGACCTGATCAACGTTGGGGTCATCTACGAGGTGGCAGAGCGACTGGGCATGGACGACCTCCTGCAGGCCTGTCACTCCACCTTTCCTGACCTGGAGAGCACTGCTGTGACCAAGCCCCTGACCAGCACCAGTGACAGCCACTCGGGTACTCTGAGCTGCCCCTCAGCAGAGCATGCCCATCCCCTTGGGGAACTCCGGGGTGGCGGGGAGCACTTTGGTCCCGATAGAAACTATGTGTTGCCTGGTGATGCTGGAGGGAGCTACAAGGAGGAAGAGAGGAACGTTGCCAGTGACGCCAGCCATAGCCTGCCTCTGCCACAGCCACCACCGCCGCCCAAGACAGAAGACCACGACACCCCTGCTCCCTTCACGTCTGGTCCTAGTACGGTGACCCAGCCGGGCCTCGGCACTGTCAGCACGGGCATGCAGGTCAGCATGAGCTCTTGCCAGCCGTACAGAGTTCAAAGCAATGGAGACTTCAGTAAAAACAGCTTCTTCACCCCTGACAACGCCATAGACGTCACCACTGGGACCAACTCCTGTCTGAGCAATAGTGACCACTCCAGAGACCCAGGCTTTGGGCAGATGGATGAGCTCCAGCTGGAGGAGCTGGGGGACGATGACTTGCAGTTTGAAGACCCTGCTGAGGAGATGGGCACAGCCGAGGAGGTGATTGAGCTGAGTGATGACAGTGAGGATGAGCTGACTTTCGGAGAGAATGACAATCGGGAGAATAAGGCCATGCCTTGCCAGGTGTGTAAGAAAGTCCTAGAGCCCAACATTCAGCTGATCTGGCAGCACGCTCGGGACCACGTGGACCTGCTGACAGGCAACTGCAAGGTCTGCGAGACCCACTTCCAGGACCGAAACTCCCGGGTGACCCACGTCCTGTCCCACATTGGCATTTTCCTCTTCTCCTGCGACATGTGTGAAACTAAGTTCTTTACCCAGTGGCAGCTGACCCTTCACCGACGGGATGGAATATTCGAGAACAACATTGTTGTCCACCCCAGCGACCCTCTGCCTGGGAAGCTGGGTATCTTTACAGGGGCGGCCTCACCAGAGTTGAAATGCGCTGCCTGTGGGAAAGCATTGGCCAAAGATTTCCATGTGGTCCGGGGCCACATCCTTGACCACCTAAACTTGAAGGGCCAGGCCTGCAGCATCTGTGACCAGCGTCACCTCAACCTCTGCAGCCTCATGTGGCACACGCTGTCCCATCTTGGCGTTTCCGTCTTCTCCTGCTCTGTGTGTGCCAACAGCTTCGTAGACTGGCATCTTCTGGAGAAGCACATGGCTATGCACCAAAGCCTGGAAGATGCCCTCTTCCGCTGCCACTTGTGTAGTCAGAGCTTCAAGTCAGAGGCTGCCTATCGCTACCACGTCAGCCAGCACAAATGCAACAGTGGCCTTGATACGCGGCCTGGCTTTGGGCTCCAGCACCCGGCTCTCCAGAAGCGGAAGCTGCCAGCAGAGGAGTTTCTGAGTGAGGAGCTGGCCTTGCAGGGCCAACCTGGGAACAGCAAGTACAGCTGCAAGGTCTGTGGCAAAAGGTTTGCCCACACAAGCGAGTTCAACTACCACCGGCGGATCCACACGGGCGAGAAGCCGTACCAGTGTAAGGTGTGCCACAAGTTCTTCCGAGGCCGCTCGACCATCAAGTGCCACCTCAAGACGCACTCGGGGGCCCTCATGTACCGCTGCACAGTCTGTGGCCACTACAGTTCCACCCTTAACCTCATGAGCAAGCATGTCGGTGTGCACAAAGGCAGCCTCCCGCCTGACTTCACCATCGAGCAGACCTTCATGTACATCATTCATTCCAAAGAGGCAGAGAAGAACCCAGACAGCTGACTGGGTCCCAGCCGAGCCAGCGGGAGCCCCCAGGCAGCAGCCAGGACTCTGATTTTCTAATGGCTGTTAGGCCCTCCCCAGCTGAAGTTTTGCCTTGCTAGGAATTGTGTTGTGTTTAAGGAAGAAACAAGAAGAAATAGCACATAAGCTGTTACTGTTTTTGAGAAGCAACAGCCCTATTGCATTTACCTCCATACCTGTTCTTGCCCGTGAAGGGCTGCGTTTTTGATTCTTTTGAGGCTGGTTTGGGATCTAGTCAAGCAGTTGGTGTCAACTAGTTCCCCTTCCCCAGCCTCTCTAGTTTTAGTTTACTGATAGGTTTTATGCTGCTAAGAATTCAACCAACAGCCTCACCAGAGAGAGGAGGTGAAGAGAGGTTTCCACTGGACAACCAGCTGTGAGAAAGATTTGGGGAATGTGGTCATTCAGAAAGACTAGTCAGCAGGGCAGCTCCCCTCAAGTTCCAGTGGCAGCCCTCAGCAGGGACACGGTGTCAGGGATGGAGGTGCCTGCTTGCTCCATGGCCCTACTCTGCTGATGATGGGACAGTGAAAATCTTTTGGCAGCTAGATCCAAACTGGGAACAAAGCTTTCTGTTTAGCTCAGGAAGCTTAGGGATGCATCCTTGCCAGCCAGAAGGGGCGTCCTGCAGTGTCGCCAGGGGTGGCAGCTTGGTTGTACAGGAGAGGAGGTTTCTCTTCTCGTTTCCAAAGAAGTAGTGGTTTTATGGAGCAGTGCCCCAAGAAGTCAGGCCTTCCCTGTGGGGCAGAGAGGACAGGGAATCCTTTGATCTAGTCATTTGTCATTTCGGCCGCCTCCCTCGGCCTTGTGTTTCCTGGTGGAGAGGTGGGCATGTCTCTGACAGTAGCAGCCTTGCCTTAATTTCTATCCGATCTCCCACCCAGAAGTGTCCGGCCTGTAGTGTAGACGAGAAGACTCCATGTGGTGAACTGTGAGCCCCGTAGGGCTAGGAGGACCTGCGTAGCTGGTGGTGTGTAGCAGGGTGTGCTTTCTGACTGCCTGCTCCCAACCGGTAACCTGTTGTTTACTTTGCGCCAAGGTGTAGGAGCTTTGTCAGCTCACCTTTGACCTGCTGGAATTTATCCTTAACTGCAGTTGCATCACCTCCAGAGGGCGCTGTTGGCTGGCAGCTGGTTCAAGCTCTCCTTGGGTGACTGGAGAATGTCTCTGCCGGGTGCGTCGTGTTTCTGGTCCATGCAGTTGGTTGGCTCCGTTCCTAGTTGGTTTTCTGAGGGGTTTTGCCCAAAGAAGTCTTGGGGGAGAGGGTCCTCGAACTTGCGTTCTCACAAGGTGGCACCTCAGTAGCTCATACTACCTCACCCTGCTCAGGCAAGCTCTGGGGGCCCCTGGCCTCAGCCCTGACACTGCCCCTGGTGGGACTCAGCAGCACCCCGGGCTGTTTCACAAGCAAGTGGTTTTAATGAACTCACAGAGCCTTTTTGGACGTTAATATTTATTTATTTTTTGTTTTTGTGTATGTATTACCCAGCATCTCTTTTGGATAAGAGACTTTAGGAAAATGAGTTTCTCCCCAGCAAGCAGCCATATTCCAGAGGACAGTCCCGGCCGGAGAGTTGGGGAGCAGGGATATAGCGAGGGGAGAACATGTCAGGCCTTTTAAACAAGCACATTCTTTCCTTCCTCTCCGGATGGGCTCTAGCATAATAAACCCAGGGAACCCTTTAGGCAAGGGCTGCAAGTTCTAGAAAGTTAGGGCCAGTTATATTCCAGGCCTTTCATCCCTCTCCATCCTGTGGTGGAGGTCATGATAAGGACCTCCAAACTAACCCCATCCCGGTATGTGTTAGTACAGGCTAGCCACGCTCCATCCCTGTTGAACCTGCTGCCTTTCTCCCAGCCCTGAATTGATGAAGAGTTGGGGTGTGTGGCTTTCCCGGGGGGGGGGCGGTGACTGTTGTTAGATGAAGGGACTTGTGCGGTGGCCAGTTGGAAGGCCCCCTTTGACCATCTTAACCCAACTTGTTGAGGTCCACACAGGACATCTCATCAGGAAACTGGGGTTGAGACTTTTCATCGCTGACTGGCTTCTCCCTTTCTTACACTGACCACTAGAAATGTAAGGAGACTGTCATCCAGCATCTGCTAAGCTCTTCAGCATGTGTGATCCCTCCCAGACTCTTGCTGAGGACTGACTCCCGAATGACTGGTTTGAGAGAGGTGGTGAGGACTGGAGCCAGCCAGGTAGCTGAGAGCAGGTAACTAAGCTGGAGAAACCCTTTTCTTTAGCAGAGGGCACTGTGGCTGCTGGGTGGTCTGTATACTTAACCTGAAACTGTGAAGTTTTCCCTTTTTGCCAGTAAACCAAAAACCAGATATTTGAAGCTCTGTCCTTGAAACACTAGTTCAAAAAACTGGACCCCCTGGTCCCCCTGAGGCTCAGTGGCTGAGCAGGATGGCCAGTGGTCTCAGCCAGATATGCTGTAGCATCAAGTAGCTCATGAGGCTCATTGACCAAACCGTGCCCCTCTGGGTGTCCCCCACAGTCACACCTGAACCCCAGCACCCCCTCTGAGTCGTTTGCATCTGCCTCTAGCTCACCCTTTCTGAATTGTTTTACTTGAAACCCTCTGTTGTGGAAAGGGCATTCTGGGATATCTAGTGGAAGGCATTCATTTTATTTTGCAGTGAGAGTCTTTGACCTTGTACTCATTTGGTTGGTTGCCCCTCTCTCCTGGAGCCCAGTTTAGTACTGTCTGCAACACAGGCAAGCTGTGTCTCTCTGAGGTTCTTTTGGAGCCTTGAATGTCCTCTCTTCTCCCTTATTCTTGTTCTGTACTCAGGACCGGTGATGTCATTTGCAGAGCCCTTTTGTTTACCAATTATTAAGCATTTCAAGATGGTGACTGTAGAACATTAAGCCAAATGCAGGACCATTCCCCATGTGTTTCCTAAGGGGAAAATGATAATACTTGTGTGGCACCCGGGGACACATAGCAGAGGCTGCTTGTGGCCGGAGGAAGGGATGGATATCTTGGCACTCTGGTGACCTGCTGATGACTCACTGAAGCCATGGCACCCGCTGGGAAGCTCTGTTGAACCTTAGTATTTGGTCTTAAGTGTTAAGACTCTGTAGAGTCCCTACAGTTAATGGCTAGTTGGAAAGAAAGGAGGGTGGCATGAGGGTCAGGCCCAGGTGACCCTCTAAGAACCAGGAGATGGGTAAAAGTTCTTTTTGACTTTCTTCTGTTCTGATCTATCCTAGGACAGACCTTTGGGTTTAAACAGGTTTTTCCCAGTCAGGTTTTTGCTACTGACAAATTTTCTTCCTCTGGCCTTCTGCTGTGTACTGTTATCCAGACCTCAGACTACTCAACTTCCAAAGCAAATTTAAATCCCCTTATAGATGGACACTGAATTTCTTGGCGTGGGAGTGGGTTATGGGAGCAATCTGTACCCACCTGGGAATCTCCACATGCCGTTTTCCCTGAATCCTGTACCAGTGAGTCAGGACGCAGGGTGCACAGTGCTAGTTTCAAAGTGATTGCGTATCATAAACTTAACATCGAATGAAAATGAAGCTTTTGATTTTGATGTTATCTTTAAAACGCCCTGTCCATTCGACCCACACCCCCACTTCTAATAGCTAAAGTCTTTTATGAACAGAGAAGAGTTGTTGACTCTAACTCCTTCCATTAAATTAATAATTACTGACCTCCTAATATTTAAGTGTTTACTATCTATTGCTGTAAAGTTTTGTATATTTTGTAAACTTTTTTCCCAAATAGTAGATGTCTAAAAATCGTTGTACATCTGATTCTTTTATATTCCATTGTTCAGCACAAAGTGTGGTTTTTATTTAGAATAAAAAAAAAGAAATTTGAAATGGGAGTTCTTTTTCCGCTTCCTGTTCTGAATGTCTGAGCGCTTCACCCTTCCCAGCAGCACGCTTCTGCCCAACAGATGCCAGGATTCTTTCAGGTAGCATATTGTCCCTTCCTGTAGCTGGAATTCCCCAGGATTAACTGGCCGGTTTTTAGTGGGAAATTGAGTGAGTGAGTGAACCTTTCAGGGAGAGTGGTGTGGCCTCTGTCTAGTTAGACAAACGGTACTGAGAGATGGGGCTTCAGTTTGTCTTGCTACTTAATTCGCTGTGACTTGGTTATGTCTGAGTGGAGAGAGGCGGATGGAAAGTAAGATGGAAGAGGACATTTCACACAGGGAGGAGGCAGAGGCTTGGCATAATCTCCTGAGGGTGACACTCGTGTCCTCACAGAGGAAGACAGGCCTCTGGGAGTCAGGGAGTGATGTCCATTTGGTTCCAGAGCACATGGTTCAGGCAGGGTTCACATCAGTGCTCAACCAGTTCCCACCTTTCCCTTCTGTGACTGGGAAGCATTCATATTGCTGGAGTGGGGGTAACTGATCTTGGGGAAGTAGCCCCTGAGTTGGCCTGGGATGTGACAGAGACAAGAAAATTGGTTTCTTTCAGGAAACGTCTGTAGCCCCATTCAGAGGAGACATCAGACCTTGGCTTGGTTTGTATGTTGGGATGAGACAGGATGGTCTTTTTAATGCAATTTCTGCATTCTTAGAGTAAGCCCTCACTGCAAACCAAGCTGTAAGGCTCCACAGTTGTTTGCAGCATAAGACCCTTTCAGGTTTGGGCCCAGTGAGATGGGGATGGTAGATGCAGGTCCACCCCCCACTCCACCATGCTCCTGACACCTGGGAGATATGTACACAGTTGGAGCTTCTAACACCTGGGGTGTGTATACAGCTGGAATTCCTGACACCTGGGGTGTATATATAGCTGGAGCTCCTGACACCTGGAGCTCTTGACACCTATGGTGTGTACACCTGGGGCGTGTACACAGTTGAGCACCTAACACCTGGGGTATATGCACGATGGAGCCCCTGACACGTGGGGTATGTACACGCTGGAGCCCCTGACATGTGGGGTATATACACGCTGAAGTTCCTGACTTGTGGGGTATGTACACGCTGGAGCCCCTGACACCTGGGGTATGTACACGCTGGAGTCCCTGACATGTGGGGTATGTACACAGTTGAGCCCCTGACGTGTATGTACACAATTGAGCACGTGACACGTGGGGTATGTACATGCTGGAGCTCCTGATACCTGGGGTATGTACACACTGGAGCCCGACACGGGTATGTACACAGTTGTTGAGCACCTGACACATGGGGTATGTACACACTGAAGCCCCTGACATGAGGTATGTACATGCTGGAGCCCCTGACACATGAGGTATATACACGCTGGAGCCCCGGACATGTGGGGTATGTACACAATTGAGCACCTGACACATGGGGTATGTACATACTGGAGCTCCTGACACCTGGGGTATGTACACACTGGAGCCCCTGACACGGGTATGTATACGCTGGAGTCCCTGACACGTTGGGTATGTACACGCTGGAGCTCCTGACACCTGGGGTATGTACACAGTTGAGCACTTGACACCTGGGATATGTGCATGCTGGAGCTCCTGACATCTGGGGTATGTACACAGTTGAACTCGACACCTGGGGCATGTATACGGCTGGGGTTCCTGACTCCTGAGGTGTGTACACAGTTGGAGGCCATGGTCAGTGCACCCAATGCATACAGGTTCTGATTTCTAAAAGCATAGGCAATGGTCTCCGGGTAAGCAAGTAGTTACTTTATGTTCAACGTTCCAGACACACTAAGCACTTGAGTGGGAGAGAGGAGATGGCTAATGGATCTCAGGGTTTCTACCCACAATCCGCCCTCTCCCCAGAAACAGGATTAAGAAGTCAAGCATGTGGAATAGGAACATGGGAACTGCAATCGGTTCTTAGGCTTTTACTTCAGAGTTCTTCATGGATCCACGGTCCCTAATTTCCCAAACTGATAAAGAACCCTTTTCCAGAAGGCCCAGTTGTTAGCAAGAAGACTTCTTTTCCTATCTATAGGACAAGCGCTGATAAACGTAAGTTGTTGGACACAAAAATCAGGAAAACACTTGGCCAAGGATAATTGGCTTATAATAGAGTCAGAGCCCTGCCCTGTGACGGTATTGAGAAATTTCTACTTTGGTCTTCCCCATCCGGGGCAGGGGACCGCAGCTGAGGGCTGGGGCATCCGTCAGCACCTGCTGCTGGTTGTCCCAAGGTCTGCTCTCAGAATGGGTGGGTGTCCCTGATACTTTCCTATGACCCAGAGAGAAAGGGAGAGACGGCGGTGGGCCAGGCTTTCTGATAGCTCTGTGTCTCCCTAGAGGAAGTCTAGAAGTGTCCTCGACCTGAAGCTGGGAGGTCAGCTGTGAGGGGCACTGACTCTAGGACAGTGCCCCTGCTCTGTGGGGGAGGATCAGGATGGCCCTGGGGAAGGAGAGGGCATTGGTGAGGAAATGGGACTCTGCTTCCGCGCGGGTGGAGAGACCATCCTGCAGACCCAGCTGCGGGGTGCTGGTCTCAGCCCTTGGCTTCACCCCGCCCCTGCTGTCCCCACCCCCGCCGCCACTTATCAGAGCCACTGAGGATGCAGAGCTAGGGCACGTCCTGCCGAGGCCTCCCGGTTCCTTGACCTCTGGCTTCTTGTCCCCACAACCTGCACAGTGAGCTCGAAGATTAACACGTACACAAACACAAAAGGAAAGTTTTGTGAGGTTCCTGCAGAGCTCACTCTTTCTGGCCGGGGTGATTTATGAAGTGAGCACAGCGAGTTTCCTCTGCCAAGCGCCTCTCCAGCGTCAGCTCCCTTCCCAGCCCCAGCTGGAAGTGCAGAGGTTTCGAAGACCCAGAGTCACCCCGCCTCCGTTGTTTATTTCACCTTTTCTTTTTCTGCGTGGCTCCCATAGATACAAGGGCCGAGACAACCAATACAACCCCAAGGACCTGTTCTCCATCCCTTCTGCCCCTTCTTGCCCCACCTCAGTGTCTTAAGACACGCTCAGAATTGACCGTGAGCTCTGACCCTCTCCCCCTACTCTGCTCACCTTCACGCTCACTCATGGCTTCGACTTCACTGATGGAGAAACCCGGAGTCTGCCTCTACCTCAGAGGTCGAAGAGTAAAGATGGGTGAGGTGTCTGGGGGCAGAGAGGGTGCCCGGAAGTTCAGGCTTGGGTGGGGTGGGGGTCTGTGGCAGTGGGCTGGCCGCCCTCCTTGGTGATGACGATGGAGTGCTGGGTGGAGGAGGAGGAAGAGGCGCCCCGGGCGCCCGCCCTGGCCTGGTCCTTGGGAAGGTAGCGGACCACCGCGCTCAGGAGCCGGCCCCGGAAGCTCGGGCTGAGAAAGTTGTAAAGGATGGGGTTGAGGACGCAGTGCAGCATGGAGAAGCAGTCGATGACGTCGTAGAAGAAGTACAGTAGGTGGACCAGGTGGCAGTGCAGGGAGACGTGGGTCC